TTTTTTTTGCTCAAGCCACGTGGCAACTGATAGGTGGGGTGGGTGGGGGAGAGGAGCAGGGAGGAAAGCCTGCTCTGATACCAGTGTGACGGACCCGCCGGGATGGCGGTCCGTCAGGATCAAGACGAAGGGATGAGGATGGGAGAGATGGAGATGGAGCTGGAAGGGACAGCGCAGCTCCAACGCAGACTCAACACGCACGTACTCCAATCTGTGCAGAATGAAGAATGAGCCACAAAACAGGCTGCAGCTGGGGTATACCCCCAGCGGACTGACTGGACTGGACTGGACTGGACTGGTACCGACAGTGGTACCGGGCAGGACTGGACTGGACTGAATAACCGCACGGCCTGTGGGGTCAGGCCACGGCCTGGTCCCACAGGCCGGACTAGCAAATAGCCAAATAGGCCCTGGCTGTGGGCCAGGGCAGATGAAGGCGCGCTGCAGTGTGCATGCCTCGTAGGAGGAAGAGACTGAGACGAAGAGTGTTCATTCAAGGTTTGGCTATGGGAGACACTTACCTGAGTTGGTTGTGAACTGCAGAGTTGGCGCTGATGAGTTGTGACCATATTGATGACTGGGAGACAATCTGCAGGGGTAGCGCTGATGCCTTGGAAGGCATATTGATGAGTTGAGCAGAGATTTGTGTTGCACTGATGAGCGCTGGACTCAGGGGAACTTTGAAACACTTTGTAATCATATTTCTGATACTATAAGCTGTGAGACTCGGTCCTCTTCTTCTCTACCTTTGTCTATGGTTGAGACTATTGATCACTGCATGTGAAGATGATGCATGACATGTACACATCTGCGTGAGATGGTCCCCAGGACCCTCGTACGACGCACGAGAATCAGCGACTAACGCATGCTCCCCGGTAGTGACATCGATTGCTAGCAAGGCAACCGGGTCCGGCGGAGTGAGGAGAGACGTCGCCCCTCTCCTTGCGTAACTCAGTTTCCCGATTTTGCTGGACGGGGTACGCGTGCCTTGCCCTTTGCGAGGCATTGTGCGGTCAAATGAGTGACTCCATTGCACCAAAAGCAGTATCCGTACTTTTGACAAAGGTCATAGACATCCTTGGTTATCTTGTAAGTCGTCCATGGCTGCTGCCCAGTTCCCGTCGATGCCGTCTCTTTTGTTGCCTTGTTCTTCCGAACTCTCTTGGGACGCTTCGGCGGGAGCGCTGCTACAATTCCTCCATCACTCGAGGATGCTGCTGCAGCGTGGAGATCGACTGTTTCTTCCGAAATCACGGCATTGTTATGTGTCGGTCGTTGATAGCCCTGCTTAGCCACATAATGCGGCTGGGACTGCCGTTCGTTTGCGGCCTTGTCATCCGTTTGGATGACTAAGTTCGCACGATCCAGGATAGCCTGGAATGAGGCGTAATCGTACTCGTTGCCGAGTGCGGTTCGCAGTCCTGCGCACGATCGCGAGAAGAACTCGGATCGTTGATTCGTAAAGCTCAAATCGAAGCCTGGCGTGGTCACTATCTTCTGCCACTTGATTGTCCAGTTTCGAGTTGGCATGTTTCCTTGTGAGCATGTGTAGACCTCGTTCATGGCCGCCTTTATGACGTTGCGGACCATGAAGCGAGTGGACCACAGCTGTTCAAACTCCTCCCACGTGAGGTGTTTGTGTAGCTCGACGATCGTGGTCTTCTTGCTAACTGCGAGGTGGTTCATCCATGATTGTGCCCCTCCAATGAGTTGGAGGTATATGACCTTCATCATGTCTTCGGCTGGGACCTTGTGGCATGATGCTTCCGTGAGGAAAGCTTGCCACCATGTCGAAGCGTCGGTCTTGTTGTAGTCCTCAAACTTGTCGATGTTGAACTGTGGCATCTTGTATACCTTCGCAGCTGCTGCCGGTTGCGACTGCAGCTTGGTGATGTCCGTCTTGATGGCTGCCACTGTGCTGCAGATCGTAGCTGGTCCGGTGAAATCACTGAGTTCGCCGATGATCGTGACGACGTGATCGATGCGCTCGTTGAGCTGCTTCGTCTCGTCTGTCGTGCAACCCGGCGCTGCTGAGGCCTTAGCCTCGATGTTGTTGACGCGTGCGGTGGTGGTGCTCAACAGCTGTTGCTGTTGTTGCTGATGTGTGGCGGCAGCGCGAACAGCAGCTGGTAAGGCTGCAGAATCATTCTGCTGAATCTGTCGCAGTTGTCTACCCTCGTGTATTTGCACCATTAACATCGTATTGTTCCACATGATCGCTCGCATCATATTCAACATCAGGTTAGCCAGGTTGCTCCTTTCTTCCTCCGCCGTTGTCGGATCCGCCTGTGTGTCCGAAGGCACAAACAGCATGCCTTGGAGCAGTGTCGTCCACTGACTCCCATTCATAGTCAAGGACTCCATGCAAATGGCGTTCCGCTTATCTCGCACCACGGCGTCAACCTCAGCAGTCTGCTAAGCTTGGGCTGCCGCCTCACTGGCTAGCCGCTGACGTCTCGCCTCTGCTGCCTCCTCCTGTGCCTTTGCGGTGGCTACGACATCTGTGAATGCCTGTACCCGCTGAAGGTAATCTGCCAACGGCTCACCGGCCCCTTGGACCGGGCATGCGGGAAGAACCCCGGTGGTAACTGATACTGTTAATGCTGTACTTGATGCTGCTGGAGTCTTCCGCTTGCTGAGTCGCTGCTTGGTTCTTGGAGGTACCACTAGGCGGGTACGAAGTGCAAGCCTGGCACTGCGTCGTGGCAGTGCCCCGGTGTCCTGTTCCATCGACATCAGTGTGAACTGATGTGGTACTTGAGAGGTCTCGGTGGTCACAGAATACGGGGAGGGTAGGGAGAGTGGGAACAGGGGTAGAACAATGAAACAATTCGCATACAGTGCCATGTCCCACTGATGGACTGTAGACACCTAATCAAAACAGAAAAAATAATTTTCCCGTAAACAACTCAAAAATTCGTAATAAGAAGAAATAATAACGAATTATTTAATCAATAAAATTAATTAACGATTAATAACGAAATAATAATTCTTGATGATAATCAATAAAACAATGTTTGCAATAAAGATTTCTTAATGATACTCAATAAACAATATTTGCAATAATGATAATGAACGAATTTGAATTGTATCAAGATTAGGTATCCTTTGAGATCAATTATGGTCTGGGAGTTCACCGTTAATTAGTGAACTACCCGGAAGTCGCAATTTTGAGGGTCTGATTTGGATTAATTTGCCAACAAAAATTTCGGAAAAATCCGGAGAAACAAACACTCGAATTTTCAAAAATGTGAAATTTTGGGAATTTCCATCGTCAAAATGCGATTTTTAAAGGCCTTAATCCGTTTTCGGAATTTCTCCAACAAGGGAAAAGAAAAAAAAAAAAAATCAAAAATTTCGGGCCCAACCCTAATTTTCCGCGTTTCCGCAGAATTTCCGGTATTACGGTTCCAAAACGTTCGAAATTCCCAATTTGATCGAACAACCAAAATTTCCGTAACCCTACTTTCCAATACTGAAGGAAAATGGAAATACCAAAAGAAAAACGAAAAGTAGGATTTACAACAGAATGTCGAAATCAAAAACGGAATGCTGAATGGAAATCAGAATGCCAACTTTCAACGCGTACTGATTCAACCCTAATAACGTTTAACATCAGTGTGAGCGCTGAGCTCCTTCTTCATCATCTGGATGGCGATTGGCTCTGGGAGCCTGTTTCACTTTGGCGCAGGCCACAAAGTTGGATGTCAGGGTGGCGCTGGGTGTTACCTGGGGTTTCAGTGCTAGTTTTAGTTGTTCGGAGTGTTGGGGTTGAGGCGCTACCCCTCTGAGGGTAGCGCAACAGGGTTCTGGAGTTGTTTAGTGAAAACGATGCTCCGAGTTTAATAAACAGTGTCAATACTGTGTTTGAGTTGTCATCTCTTCATTGATTTCTGGTTGTGATCACTTGGTTGTGTTCTATGAATGATTGTTGGGACCAGTGTGGAGAGAATTCACTGTTGGTGTTTTTTGTCACTTCGCTCCTCTGAGTCCTCCGCTGCGTTTCTTTCTGTTGGGCGGTGTGATACTCCACTACCTGTCCCCTTCCTTCTGTGCATGTATGGGTGTGTACGGGAGTGTCTGTGAGCGAGTGTTGATAAAATTTCAGCAGACAATCATGTTCATAACAGTTGGTATCGGAGTAGATCGGACCCAGACAATGGAGAGATGATGGACTGAGGCAGCCATCACTATCTGAGAGTTTCTGGCGTCAGGTTTTGTGGAGAAACTCCATCTTCAGTATTGCGCTCAGTAGGGTGTTGGTGAAGGGTGTGTGGCGATTGGTATGACACAGTGATTGGTGGCGATTCAGTGCTCAGTGGCCTGGGAGGCACTGAGGGGCTATTTTTAGCCCAGGCGTTGACTTCACTGGTGGCGAGATACCTGGGGGTATGTCGAGTTGCAAATTCTGGACCAGGTTCAGTGAATTTGACTAGTGGGAATTATGCGCCATATCAAGAGCCTCAGTATCACCAAGTTTCGGGAGATTTTGAACGTGGGAGCACCAGGAACTGTGGATGGAAGAAACTGGCGAGATGGCAGCCATAGCCAGTTCAGCTTCTTCATGCAGTGTTTTGACCTAAAGTAAGTGTGTTCCTTATTCAAGTCTCTGTAGCAAGTCTGGTAGTTGGGTCTAGACTGGGGAAACTGGGATTGTATGTCTGTAGTCAGTGAAACTTGAAAATCGCACTGCCTGACAGCCATATCCATTTCTCCTACCTATCTACCTTGACTTTTACTGACTTTGTTTGACCTTCTCTCTGTCTCAAATTGCATCCTAGCCTGTGAATTGAGTAGTTCAGGGTCTGTATGTCAGTGGAAATGAAATTCTGAATATTGCGTTGCCATGGCCAGTGCTTGGGGGGCAGCTAGGGTTTGTCATAACTTAGGTTTTGTCCGTCAAAATTTCAGTCTGTCAGTCCCCCTGAAATCGCAATTCAGTATAGAGTCAGTGTCTGAAAGCGCTATACTGGATTTGATGTTTTGAGTCAGGTACAGTGCTATCTGTACTTCGCCTCACCTATAGTGGGGCATACAGGGTCCTACACTGCCAGTGTCAGTAGTAGGAGTCTAAAAATAGCTTGATCAGTCATCCGCTGCATCTTGGTTGACTACTGGGTTCTGGGGATTGCTACTGACTCTCTGCGCTATTCTAATCTGTCTACTTACAGTCCAAGGTTGCATCCTGTCTATCTTTTGACAACGATTCTGGGGGTATTGACTCAGATGAGGGTTCTGGGTTGTGAATGAAAAATCGCAAATCTGATTTTATCTCGTTTTGACCTAAAATGACCCAGAACGGCCCTCAGCAACCTATCGAGGCTGAGCGCTCTTCTGCCTGTTACACCACGTCTCTTCTCATCAGGTGGCAGTGATGATATCAGTGTTGTGTTGGTACAATCTAATCTCTGCTTACCTTGTATCTGCCTATCTATATTTATTTGATTGTGTGAGTGGTTTACGATGGCCGATGCTGAAGTGAAGAGTGAGGGAGGAGAGACTTCTGTTGACACCCCTCAGGTTCCGCTTTCTCCCCTGGAGCAGGCCCTGCTTGAGGCTGAACAGGCTCGCCTCAAGGCAAAGACCCAGATCCAGCGGTTGAAACAGGAGATGGCGGAAGCTTAGGAGGCCAGCAGGAATAAGGAGAGAAGGAGACAACTACGCAAGGATGTAGAGAAGGTTATCACCAGTGGTACTTCCAGTCAGTACAGTAAGGACACTGCTGAATTGGTGCTCTTAACAGACACCATCAACAGGTCCTACTTTTCTAACTGGGACCAGAGGATTCTCACGCTCGAGAATCAAGGCTCTGCTATTGACCGCAAGGTTGATAAGTTAGCAGCAAGTCTTGATTCCCTGACTGCGAGTATGAACAGCATCCTACAACACCTAAAGCGTCCTGCCCCTTCTCCCAAACCTCCTCAACCTTCCCCAGTGCATCCTACACCACCTCACAGTCGGCCAGCTTCACCAGCTGGTTCCCATGTATCCACCCGCTCTGGTGCTTCTGGTACATCTGTACAGCGAGGGCCCAAGCTGACACCACCTCCTATGTATTCTGGGGAGGACCCCAAGGTGGATGTGTCAGACTGGGTCACCGCTATGCAAGCCTACCTGGGCAGCTTCATATGCCCAAAAGCAACAAAGGTGGGGACTATTCTTGGCCGGCTGGAGAGGTCTGCACTAAAATGGTGCACTTCCTCTGCAACCAAAGAGAATGTCGCTATGGATCGATGGGCACAAGAGCTGGGGGTGGCAGGGTTGCTGAAGGCTCTGCAGGACCGGGTTGCTGACAGAGAGCAGGCCCGCAAAGCAGCTGATAAAATTATGCTGCTGGGGTCTCACAGATTTGAGGGCTCTCTGTCCAAGCTCTACAGTTTATTTGAGAGCTTGACATCGACACCGGGTCTGGAGATGAGTGAGTCTAACCAGCTCACTCATTTCCTGGGTGCAGCGCCTCCAGATTACTCTATTGCATTATATGCTCAGGGCCACAAGGACTGGAGGTCCTTTGGCAAAGCGGCACTGGACCTAGAGTCTCGGCTCAAGGTTTAGACTCCTTCTGAGGGAAGGCCTACCTCCCAGGGACAGCGCAGGAGGAAAGGCGCTCTGTTGGCTGCTGGCATTAGGTTCTGAGTCTGATGCATCTCAGCGTGGCAGTCCTCCATCTGAGACTGCATCAGGATCAGCAGTTGAGCCAGCTGTTCTTGCCCTGGCTGAGAATCTTGCTGCAATGTTCAAGGGAAAGTTCAGCAAAGACAGCAGCAAGAGTTCAGCCAGCCAGAAGGGGAAAGGGAAGGGACGTGCCACTTCCCCTCAGGCCCAGAGACCTAATCTTCCACGAGAGTCCATTGGCCAGTCAACGTCATGGATCCTTCCACCCTTCCCTGGAGAGCGCTCAGGATCCAGGAAGGGCAGTGGCAGAGGAGGAAGGACCGTGAGGTTTGTTTTCGCTGCGAGGGGGACCACTTTCTAAAGGACTGTCCCCATATGCCTCGCATGTCTGGTTCTAGTCCAAAAAAGAGACCAGCAGAGGGAAGTGGAGCTAGCAGCTCCCTCCACTTATGTTGAATCAGATTCTAATGAATCTGATTCTGCATCTACCCTCACTGACTCTGTTGGAGTTGCTGCGTCAGGATCCTTCACTTGCATGGACCCTGACCTGGTTGAGACGTGGCAGGAAGATGATGGTCAGGCTCTTGCTGATCTTTTCCTGTCTTTGCAGGAAAAGAAGAAGCATAAATCAGACCTCATCTTGCTGCGACCCTCCATCCTGGGAGCCAGGATCAAAGGCCTGTTAGATTGCGGGGCTACCCGGGACTTCATCTCTCCCAAAGCTGTCAGCAAGCTGCATCTGGATGGGAGATTGGTGA